CCTCCAGCAGAAGGAAGCTATCAACTATGCCAGCTCTCCTAGTGTACATACTATACAATGTATTGACCCGTTCAGATCATGGTTGGGCATAAGTCATGCATCGGATGCAAATGTATTCATGGTTCCAGGAACTGTCCGCTACACCGCTTTTGCGCGTGCTGATTGCAAGGTACCGCTCTTTCTGAGCAAGAAACCGGCGGCCTTGCTGGTTAAGGGGGTGACAGTTCCACGCTCGGGTTGTGCCTTCTTTGCTCCCCTCGATTGCTTCTGCTTCATCTGTTCAAGCCTAGCCGGTATACCTGAACCCAGACCACGCTCCCATAGAGCATAGCTGATGACCTTGTCTTGACCAGTCTTGCTGCGCTTCTCAACCTTGGTAGGCTTGACGCGACGCAATTCGACGTTGCCCAGATTAATCAAATCGCCCAGGTCGGCCCTCCTCTTGGCGTCGGCATCAGATGTGGCCTGCTGCTTCGCTCGCTGACGTGCCTTCTGCCCTTCTACATGCATAGCGCTGAAGAGACTGGTAGGCTGGGGTTTGGCGGCCTCTAATAGATGATTGTATAGATCGCCTAGGGTGTTCGCGGAAGAGAGGTGTGGATCGGAGATGCGGCAGCCGGTAAGTTGGTAAAGGCGTTTGTAAAGCTACATAAGTCAGCAAAGGTAAAATAAAAAGGGTCGATACACGTACAGCGAACTTGACGTTGATGTCAGTGACGGGAACGTGCCGCCATTTCGTCTCTTCAGGCTTGATAGCAGACGAATCTCTGCTGCTCTGCTGAACTGAGGTTTTTAGAGCCGCAAAGTCAGCCGCCAAACGCTTCGCTCTCTCTTCGAGGATAGCATGTCGCGACTCGCTCGCTGCAGCTGGAGCGATTTGGTTAACGGGCTCCGGGTCGGCTGCATGGTCAACAAGCTCGGTTTGGGGTACATCTTGAGCAACTTGAGGTGGCGTAGTTTCTTGAACGACCACTTCCTCAACAATTGCCTCCTTGACGGGCGCTTCAACTGGCTTGGCGCGAGGGACGGGGCGGTTCGACATGAAGTCAAACGGCTTGTTCTCGCCATCCATCTTGACCACTGCTGCTTTCTTGTGTGCTGGTGTGTCGGGGTCCATGGTCTGTACTTGCTCCTGTGCAAGGCCGGCATCCTCAAGTTCCTCAACGACCTCTTCAACGAGCAGCTCGTCCGATACCTCTGGCTCAGCCTCCCAAGCGGGTGCCGTTTGCATCGTCTCCAAGAGATCATCCAAGCTCTTGTGCTGGGGGAAGGCAAGAGCAAGCTCACCGCTTTCTGTCTTGACTAACTTGATGTCCTTGACCCAGCGTGGCCGATCGTAAACACCTCGGTTGGCAAACTTGGATAGGTCCATATCTAAACCAGCCTGCTTCAGGGCATAAATCTCGGCGACAGCTTGTGTGAAACTGGCACGCATATCGGTAATCCGGGTAGCTTTGGCGTGGAGGCCAAAGTTGTAGTCGGTATATGGGCGCTTGGTCTTCTCGTGTACAGTTTGCGCCATAAGCAGGTTCTCGTCCTTCAAAGTGTACGGAGTGCCCGTGAGCTCTTCGATCTCATTGGCCATGTCCAGTGTCAGTGGCGTGTACGTCCGTAGCGTAAGTTTCTCGAATTCCTTAGCCAAGTCCTTTTCGACCTTTTCCTGCAGCCATTCCTCGCCACCGACCCGATGCAGGCCGCGTAGATACTTCGCAGGCTTGTATTGGGGGAATCTTGAGGCTTCCTCGTCAAGGACCTCTTCGTATTCGCCCTGGTCTTCAGGCGCTATGCGGACCGGTGATGTGGGATCATAAGGGTCGACGTGTGCACCAATAGGCTCCGAGTCGCCAAGCAGACGCTTCTGCCATCTTCGCACGAACTGCTGGTGCTTTCTCTTGTCCTGTTTGCCCGGTAGCAGGAAGGCTTGGGGTGCGGTTGTGGAGAAGGCGGCGGATGGGGTGCGGAGATGGGTGCAGGGCGACGGGGCGGGGCGGCAGGGCAATGGCGAGACTCGTTGCCGTATGCAAGCGGAGAGGGGATGTGAGGGATCAATTGCCCGCGAGGGGCGCGGTATTCGGCGCATTGGGTTCGAGATGCGGGTGATGCACATCTGCTGGAAATTCCTTCGACATGTCGACGAGCACGCCAAGCCGCCGGACATCAGCCAATCAGCGCCCTAGCAGCCCCGAGCACTGGAGAAGCCCATGGTTTTGGAGAACATGCATCGTCTGATCTCTGCCTGCACTTTGATTTTTGATCTAGACATGTTGGCATCAAGATACTGTCATGTTCAAGTGTCTATTATGTATATCACGAGAACTTCTTTACTAGCCACGTAGAGCCTCTCTCGTCATAGTCGGCTTTGGACACGAGCAACTCCTTCAACAAGTCGGGTTGGCTAGCGACGTTTGCTCCTCCTAGCCATGTGTGCTTGATCGGGTCATCTGCCCGCGCCACATTCAGCGTGTACTCGGCTGGTACCAGAGCCCTCAGCTCTGTCTGCATTCGTTCCATGAAGCCGGCAATCAACGAGTTCCCGCCTACCACTACAACATTCGCCAACAGGCCGATTCTTAGAGCTTCTGGCAGTGTGCTCAGCGACTCCATGACGGCGCCAGGTATTCCAGCTTCCTGGATGCCAATATCGGAAGGGTTGAAGAGGAGCTCGGGCACGGCGAAGCGCTCATTGCCTAGAGGCAGCAGATCTTCTCTCGGTCCTTGCAGCGGCTGTAGCCCTCTGCGCATGCGTGATTTTGCAGGGTCGTGGGGTCGCGCATGCCCGTGTATAGCATTCTCGTAGTCCGGCAGCACATAGTCGACCACTATGCTCGAATCCAGCTCTCGTTTATCTCCCAGCCGTCCTTTCCAAGTGCGCTCCAGATCTTTGGCGAATTGCTGCGATGATGGCACGACGTACGAGACTGCTTCTTTGATCTCGTTGAGCAGGTATGTCTCCTCCATCATGTTGTAGTGCCGCAGCGAGGAGAGCTCTTTCAGGTAGTTTGTGAGCAGCTTCCCACCGACTGTGAGCCGCCGCACAGCCGATTGTATGAGCTTGCCATTGTAGAGAGGGAGGACGGTCGTGTCTGAGTACGATGTGTCGATGATGAGGAGGCATTCTTGCGGTAGCGATGCCAACGAGGACGTGATGGGAGGGTTGTAGGCATTGAGGGTCGCGCCAACGCACCGGTAGTAGGCCGCAAATTCGAACTGCTCGAAGATGATCTCGTCGCAGTTCTTCTGCAGCTCTTTCGGGCAGTTTGGCTTCTCTGTCAAGACCAGATTTGTGTCTTTCGGGTCACACTGCGTACTGTCAGTTCTCACACCCTTCACGAGCTCGCGACTGTGCGTACCCACCCTCAACCCCTCCCCCACGGCGTCGCCCATGAACTCATGCTCCCATATCGCCTTCTCCGCCTCCCAGTTGACAATGAAGCCCTTTTCCACTGGACGGCGAAACGCCAGTTCTCCAAAGTCTTTGCACGAATCGAGCTCGGCGCCGACGTAGGTGCACTTGTCGCGTGTGCTGCGCGCGATGCAGTTGGGAATGACACTGCAGTCGTCGTAGGTAGGCTCCGAGGCTGGCGAGACTAGACCGGCTTTGATCGAATATGCGCCATTGTCCAGGACGAGCGTCTTGTTGGGCGCTGCAGCCGCCGACTTCTTAGACCCTTTGGGTGCCATCGTTGGTGTTTGTTGGTTTGCGCTGACGGAGCGATTCGCGACGCCCGAATTCCAACGCCTGTTCACGTGCGGCCCACCTAACCCTTGACCCTTGACATGCCGCCATCAACTTCTTTTCCCAAACCCGATGATAGGTACACTGTGCCCGGGACGGCAAGACCTGACAAGCCCGTCATGACAGATGCAGAATGGCTGGTCCAGCCACCAGCACATGACTACCGTTGTGGGAGTGATCCGACTAATATAAGCAGGTTGGAAGTGCGGAGTATGCATGCCCCGCGATGCACCCCTATCACCGTCCTGACATCCTTTATGCTTCTCCCACTGTGGCATTTCAGAGGCACCAGTGCTATCGCTCGCTTTCTTTAGGCCCTGAGGCTGGAATCCAGCTAGTCTATGACGTCAACCTCTCTTTGGCAACGAGGCACACGAGCCCACGAACACCATTCAAACAATCTTTGACTCTAGAGCCCTAATATCCAGATTCCTTTGCAATGGACGACTGGCAAGACGCCGCCTTCTCGACGCGGCACATGCACAACCGCACTGGCCGCAGTGGAAAATCCAAACACACGAGCGCATTCGACGTTCACAAGACATTCGCAAGCTATTCTGTCAAATGTCCGGCATGGCAAAAGGCCCTGGGCGCAACTGGGGATACGCAGCCAGAACAGGATGCATCGCTGGAGCTGTATCGCTTGACCGAAGCCGGCGAGGGTGTCGTGGGCCAATTGTCTTTGCCGGGCTTGTTACAAGCCTCAGTCATCTTAGCTGGCAGTCGTGACAGTCTTCGGCGAACGATCGCAGAGATAGAACCAGATGAATCAAACGAAGAGGAAGATGAGGAAGAGGACGAAGAAGAGAGCGAAAACACGGAGCCGGAGTCTCCCGAGAGGACTCGCTTCGAAACATTCGAAAAGAACAGCTTCCGTTCACCAAAGTTCTGGTTGCGATGGAGCGGCAGCCCTACGGAATCCGGCCACAACGCGTCCAAGGCACCCGCACATAACGAGACAGATTTGGGGTACATTGTCTTCTCTGGCAACGATTGTCGCAAGTTCAAGGGCACCATCAATTGCACAAGTCTGAAGTGGAAGAATGTAGCAATCACTGGTCACAAGCTCGTGGCACGATCATCATCCGACGCACAAGTCACTTGGGGAAAGGCTGGAGTGTTGGTTTAGAAGGCATATTCTGAACCATAGCTAGCGACTGTGTTATCCACCAAATATCAGCAAACTTATCGCCAAGGTGGTCGCGAAACCGAGTGAGCGAGAAGCGCATCGTAGCCGTACTACCTCCGTTTGCAGCACGCAATATCAGCAACCGCTAATCGTTCCTATGTCGGATCAGTACAGTATTCCTGCAGAGAATTGACCACGGGTTGAGCGCACCAGGCCAATCCATATACGCCAACGATACCCATCGGCCATTACCAACACCTCCGGAGACCTTGGCCCAGCGCCTTCACTCACGTCAGCACAAAAGTTCTTCCCATGTCACGTCATGACTTACTTGTCTCCATTCACCTCAGTAGTACCAGACGTGGTGTAGCAGCTTAATTTGATCTTGGTACCCTTGGGATATTGACCCGGAGCCGAGCAGGTCGTCTTCGGGCACGTTCGATAGCGCAGCCCGTCGACGGCGACAGTTGCGTCAACGACGGCGCGCTTGTCCATCTGGGCCGCAGGAGCGGCCAAGGCGACCGATGAGAAAAGAGCGAGCACAACGGTCGTAAGCTTCATGATGTACTGATTTCGATGGTTGGCAGGAGAAGATACGAACAAGTTTGGATTGATCGAAGGAAGGACATAGAGGACTGCGAACGGCTCTTTATAGCCCAAATTGCGATATCCCCCTCTTTCATATTTGCAGGCGCTCGCATTCGTCGTGTCATCCAGTCGCACGATGCAAGAACCATTGTGGGGTCCGCATTTCTTCCTTCACTTTCTCTATTTCTGTAGTCCCCGATAGATGCAGATTCGAGAACTTCGTCCAATAGATATGTCCCTTACGAGTTTCATCCTCGCGTTGCTCGCATAGCTCTACATATTGAGGCGGTCCGCGCTGCCTCTTGTTGCACGAGGGTTCAGCTTTAATTTGGTCCTCGTATTCATCCATTTGGCCCCGAACACAACTTCTACGTGCCAGACGCACTTCAACTCATCTAGACGATGTATTTATAGTCTCCTTCTCATATCACTATACTCTTACATAGTAAGTCCTTACGAGTCCTAAGTGTAGACATCACTGATGACATGACCCCATCCAGCCATATGACTTCCTTGAATTCCTCCAGCCATTTGTCCTCATCTCAGTTCATCATGCAGACCAAAGACATGCGACACTTTGTGAGAATATGGGACTTTATTCACCCAGTCGCACTACTCAACCTTAGCAAGCCATCCCTAGCTGGCTACCTTGACGCCCTTTTCTGGACCACTTGGTTAAGGCGCACTGGGATGTGTCATTCAAACAGACTTTCCAATGACATAATAGCACCAGAGATGACTTTTAGGCCGTGGGGATTACGTTGCGTTATGGTAAACTCGAAGCCACTAGTCTTGTATATAGCTAACTCAGGCCCCCTTTGCCTGTCCGCGCAAAGTCATTCAGTAGATGCTTTGGGAGCAGAATACTGGTCATGCGATCCCTTCGATGCGGTATCAGACAGGTTTGATAGCTGTCCATCAATCTGAAAGGGCGTCAAGACCCACACTTCCGTTTGTTTGTTGTGCTGCCTAGTCACGTGCATGACTCAGCCTGGACCACCTGCAGCAACTGACAACTCGAACGCGCGCTATAACCTCTGTTTCTTTCCTCTTAACGTCTCCTGTCACTCTATTGACGGAACCGAACCTCGCGACCGCAACCTCGCAGCACCTCGTCGTCATGACGCAGTACCAAGCTAACACCGTTCAGTCACGCTCACTGCGACGTCGACTTCTCAAGGACATCGCGGAGATCGAACAAGATCCATATCCCAACGTCCGCATTCACTTCCAGGACAACGACATCACAAGAGCGTGTCTTGTTCTTACTCCGGAAGGACAGAAGCCGCTCCACCTCAAGATCCGCTTCACCGGCCGATACCCGCTGGTGGCGCCCGACGTCACGATCCAAAGCGCAATCATCCATCCAAACGTCTTCAGCGACTATGTCTGCGCCACAATGCTGAACACCGACGAGGGCTGGACGCCGGCGTATACCCTCAAGGGTATCGCTATCCAGCTGCTGAGCTTCTTCTCTAGTGATTCGCTAGAGCAAGACCATGGTAATGGCACTGTCGATCTGGCTTGGTATCGACAGCAAGAGGCTCAAACGTTGGGAGAAGATCGCTTCAAGTGTTCTCTGTGTAGATTTGGAGAAGACTCGTCACCAGTACCAGCTGCTGAAATAGAGGTCGATGCACCCGCATCAGATGTTGTCGCCCCCGCCCCGAGCCAGCATCAGGGAGGCCCCTCAGGGCTTTTTAGGCTACCAGATGAGATCCTTCTCGAGATCCTCAGCAATTCCAAGACCGTTGACGTTTTGGCCTTCGCCGACGCCATCCCTTTCATCAAGAACACGATGAACTCGTACGACTTCATCCGCATTCGCGAGTTGCAATGCTTTTGTCTCAAAGAGTCATTCCTCGACGCCAAGCTTGGTATCGGTATCGCTGTGACAGGCGGTAACCGGCCGGTCTTCCGAACAGAGTTTGATCTGTTGAGTCACGAGGCGTTCTACAAGCACCACATCCGACGCAGCGTTCAGGGTGTTAAGTTCGATATCTGGCTACCTCTACCTCTGAGCCGACGCCACTGGAATCAAGTTAGAGATCATGTGATGGAGAGCACGCTGGATATCCACAGGACTGCGAACATCACGAACCCTGGAGCTTGCTATGTGGATATCCTGTATCATACTATGAACACCGTTGTCGTTCAGTTCTCATCAGATGCGGAGAGCTATAGCGGCCCTGATGCACGCAGCACCTTGAGTCACGCGTCAGAAAAGGCCGTCGACGCGTACTTCGGTCTCTTCCACCTACTGCTATGCCTGGCGATCGAGAACTCTCACATCACTGACAGTGCCAACGACACGATCAGACGCTTCATGGCCGGTCCGCGCAACAAGGCAAACTTCCCCGATCTCGGTCACGTTCTCATAGCGGCTCTCATCTGCGACGACGGCCTTACCGAAGACCTGACGTATGAGATAATCGAAGAAGCCATCATTCGCAACGTCGTCTGGATGCTTGATGAGAAGGGCGCTGGTATGGCCGAGCTGGCATACCTGGAGCCTTCCAAGGTCTCTGAATACCGTACCAGCAAGACATACGCCGCCTCCCCCACATCATACCGCCTCATGATGTTCCTGAAGATGTTCAGCGCAGCAGCACGTCCACCCGGTAAGACCCTGGTTGAGCTTCGCGACTCATTGTTTGACGCCCATGGGGCTCCTCCGCCGGGTACCTCAACGCGCATGGCCGAAGACATTCGCGAGATCCAGCAGTTCGACGCCTTTCCGCAGTTCTTGGCCAAGATGGGTCTCAAGGACTTGCCATCTCAGCCTCAGTTCACTTCGTTCCTTCGACGCACCATAACCGACAGTGTTGCCGCTGGCTACTCGATCATGCCCCTGAGCCAGAGCCGACTTTACCTCTTGCGACAAGAGGAGGAACGCTACGTGGAGAAGTCGGAAGATTTGCATGTCTCGCGGGATGATCACTGGTGGTACGAGAACAACAGTTTCAGAAACCCGTCTTTCTTCCCAAATCGCGGCGGAAGAGGTGGCGGTAGGTGGGATCGGGGCACGCGTGGTGGCAGGGGCCGTCGGTACTAGGTAGATGCTTTTGTGGACTCTCTTGGGTTCCAAGGTTGTAAAGTCCGTGAATCTTTGCGCAAGGGTTCGGCAGCTTCACGCTCGATGTAGATAGTACCTTGCAGTACGATAGCTCATCTCGGCTCTTACTGTCCGTAGAACCAGCATTTCATCAACATCTCCCTGCTTCCTCGTGACGTCGCCTCTTACGAACTAGTTCAGAAGACGGGTAGACGGCCAGACTAGCATTGTGTAGCATCTAGACTTCAGCCAAGTGGTCGAATGTGGGGAAAGGCGCAATAACGTCATGTCGCATGCTGTACCACAAGGCAGGTATTGGAGAACACCGCACCTTAAGTTCTGGTCACCTCTTCCTCCTCTCCGACATCCCTACAGAGTCAGCCTTCATAACGACTCCATCCTTGCCTTAGCTTCTCTTCACATTCCACATCATGTCAGGTATGCTTTGGTTGTCGAGTGATCTATGCTCCCGTAGCTCACAGCGTTTAGACCAGCTCGACGACAAGTTCATGAACTCCGGCGGCGGCGGTAGCGCACCACCTCCCAAAGCATCGGGCGACAAAGGCGATTCATCAAAGAAGGATGGGGACAAGAAAGACGGCGGCAAGGGCGAGGGGAAGAAGGGCTGAGAGGCATCGGAGATGAGGTGGCTGGGAGCGGGGTTGCAGTTCGTCGATCAGGGACGCCTCGGTTGACGCGTCGGAACGCGCGACGGGATGCGCGAGCCTAAACACGTAGTCACGAACAAACGAACAGCTTGATTAAAAACGACTATTAACCATTGATGTCAAGTGTGTCGCAGATTAATGATGCAGGACGCTTGGTAATGACTTCCGAGTCGTCATCTTGACGTTGACGCAACCCCACGTCCTCATGACGTCTACGCGCTGTTCAAAAGAACATCAGTACGCCCAAAGCTCCTGCTGAAAGTCCATGATACCATAATCCCACAGCATCAGTCCCAGCCAAATCACCATGCCGAGTACGTCTTCCGCACCTTCCCCGTCATTCCTCTTCACTAACACCATACCCTCAAGACCAGGTCAACGACCCCTCAAAGACCAGCGAAGACACCTTTGGTGTACAAAAGTCCGCCAAAACACCCCAGAAGGCCGCACAGGATCAGGAAGACTACGAGGCGCAGAAAGAACATTCGAACAGTGGCAGCAACACGCACTCGGGGACAGGTATGGAGTACGTTGATCGGAAGAACATCAAAGGAGATGAGAAGCAGAGGAGAGAGGGGAACTGAGTGGCGTGTCATTACATGATTTAAATCGAATCCAAATTTCAGCCCACGTTTTGACTAGGCTAGCATCCAACTTGATGCCTTTCTCGCAGACTCTTCGAAACTAACCAAAGGGCTCCCATTGGGCAACAGCTGCCGGCATCGGGATGCCGATGAACCCAATCAACATGATCAAGAGCGAGAGGATCATCTTAATAGCGCCGAATATAAGAAGGAAGGCCAACTTGGCAGCGGCAAGGGAAAGGATAAGGAGAACGATCCCAAAGAGCAATATGGCAAGGCCCTGCAAGATTGTTCCCACCACCTGCAATAAAGCCTGAATGTCGAGTTGTGAAGTTAGCAAGTGCATCATACACACTGTAGATCGGATCATTACGTACCCAAGATCGGCGGTAGAGAAGCTGTCGCATCTCTCCATAAGAAGTCGTGGGCGTGGACTTTCTTGTATGGTTTCCGCTGCTAGATTCGAGGCCCTTTTCCGCGGCGCTGATATCGGCCAGGCTATCTTTTTCGTCTTGGCTAACAGTTTGAGACATCGTTGCGATACTGCTTTGAAGAGTTTCGATGCAATGTATTGGGAGGGAGGAGGTACTGAGCCCATTCGGCAGGGCACAGCAGGGCTTTCAAGGTGTGCAGTGATGTCCGGGTAGCGAGACACGCGACCGTGGA